AAGATCCGCCGAGAAGGCTGCTCCTCTGTGCGCCCGTCTTCCAAGTCATTGACTCCAACACGATCAAGGACAGATACCTCCTCCTCTTCAGCGACCTGTTGGTCGTCGCCAAAGCGATCTCGCCTCCAGCGGACGAAACCTCGGATTCTTCCGCGCAGAGGAGCGTCACGAAGTTGCCGCACCTCGGTTGGACCTTCAGCGTCAAGAGCATCCACGAGCTACACCGCCTCCGTGTCGAGCGCGATCTGGACCAGCGCAGCGCTTCTGCCAAGGAGAGGTCGAAAAATCCTTTCCTTGCGACCTTCGTCGAGCACTTTGGCAGGGATCCACAGGCTGCGATCGACTCGCTGAGGGCCAAGTCCAAGCTCCCCAACAGGCCCTCGACCATCGCGCAGCTCTTGTTCCAAACTCCCGAGCTCAGTCGGGCCAGGCTGACCGAGTTCCTCTGCAGCCCCTCGAACCGTGAGGTCCTGAAGGAGTATGTCGCCCAACATCGGTTTGCTGGCGTGTCGATCGAGTCGGCGCTGAGAATGTTGCTGCTTGAGCTGAGATTCCCAGCTAAGGTGGACGCTTTCGAGTCCCTGCTTTTGGTCTTCGCCGATAGATGGACCGAGTCGAATGCTTCGCTCATCAAGAGCACCTTCACGCGCGAGCTTGCCGCCGATCTCGTTTTCGCCATCATGGCTCTGAACGATGCCCTACACACCCCGTCGGACCCTGACCTCGCACCCCGGACACCAGGCATGTTCAGCGCCCCTTGTCCAGAGCTCGGCAAGGAAGACTTCCTCAGGGTCTTCAGGCAGCATGATCGGGACGCGGTCCTCAGCGATCGGACTCTGGGCCGCATCTACATAAGTGTGCGCGCCGAGCCTCTGGCTCAGGCCTTGGCCGACGAAGAGCCAAGGCTGACGGTCAGAGTCAAAGGCGGCTCGCTACCGTCCAAGCTTACCTACGGTCAGCCGTCAGAAACCATCACGCTCGTCATCCCAGCGCCGGACCCGGACCTTGCGATCCGCCTCTATGCTCAGGACTCGGTGTTTGAACCCCCCATCCTGACGTTTGGCCGTTCCAAAGAGGCCAGCTTCACAATCAGCAGCAAGTCGCTCGGTCCAAAGCATCTCGTCTTCGTGAGGGCCGGCAAGAATGCGCGCTACTATTCCGGTACCGGGCTGGAGGATCACCCTACCAACCGGGGATTTGAGAACTCCGACGACCTTCCGCTACCTCGGAGCGCATCATTCACCGTCGAGCGAGCCTTCGTCAAGCACAGCTTTAGCCTCGCCTCGTACGAAGGATCGAAAGGCAAGAAAAAGCTTGTTTTCAGCATTGAGGATGATGTGAAGAAGGACGAGTGGGTGAAGAGCCTAACTTCGCAGATCGACCTCTGCTCCACGGCCAGGAAAAAGTGGGCAGCGCTTCCTTCCGATACCCCGACCGGAGTCCACTCGAGCCCCCAGGCGAGGAGAGCGGCGGAATCGGTCGCTCTGCAGATCTTGAAAGATGCGCTGATCGGTCCGGACGAGGATCGTGGTGGTCCAAGTCACAGCGGGTCCAGTTCGGGCCCGAGCGGAACGATTGCCCATACTGGACTGATTCGGTCTGCGACGATCGCAGGATCCTCCAACGTGGTGGGTGGTAAGGATGTCCGCGGCGCGATCAACGGCCAGTCGAACCACATCTACGGTTCCAGCAACCTCGACAGACAGCAGTCGACGAGCAGGCACTACTACGCAGCCTCGGGAGCAGGGAGGATGGAGAGGGAGCTTCTCCTCCCTAGAATTGGCGATGGCGGAGCAGGCGGAGTAGGCGGCCTCGACAGCGTCAGCGAGAACGAGCCTGCCGCCGCCTCGCTACTGTCTTTGAGGCCTCGGTATGCCTTTGGCTCGGGCAGTGTCACTGAGGGACTGCACAAAGGCCACGTCAAAGGCGCATCTTCCCTTTCTCTGACAGTCGGAGTAGGTGGAGGAGGAGGAGGAGAAGCTCATGGCAGAGTCAACGGCAGCGGTGCCCGTGAACATGGCAGGAACACCTCCCAAGGTGGGGAATTGCAGAAAGAAGAAGATGCCGCATCGAAGCACGTGTCCGGCCAACAGGCCGTCACCATCTGCCAGCAGAACAGCCTCCTACCTTTGGTTCTCGGTCACCTCAGGATGCAAGCCGATGGTAGCACTCGGATCTGATCATCGCCTGGCCGGCGAATCGAGAGGGGAAGGATGGCCAGGATGTGTAGGGAGACAGAAAGAGCGAAAAGAAAGGTGGGGGGGGAAGAACATCAAAGCAAAACAGAAACAAGAAACAAACATAGCAAAAACACCATCTCTGTAAATCCGAAGCGTGCTGCATCATCTCATCCATCCGTTCAGGCAAAAACAGACGAATCCAGAGAGAATAATAAACCTTTACGAAAACTGGCGACACGAACAAGCCAATCATGTTCCCCTTCTGACTCTTTTTGGCTTTCCCTACCTTTTCCCCCACTCACCCTCGTCTCTTACTCTCCCACGTTGTCACACTGGTTTCCTTTTTTCTCTTTACTTTTGCTCCCCCTCCCTCTCCTCCTCCTTCATGTGTAAGAATATCTCTGAATCAATTTCAAACCTGCGTCTTTCCCTTCTTGAGTCTAGATTAAGGGGATCATGGTGCCATCAGCCGAGTAAGCTCTGGGGGATATGGCCTGAGCGCCGCGAGTCATTGCATGCGACACTCGGAGGTGGAGGAGAAGCTGACTCGCGGCGGCCGACTTTGCCTGCTTGGGTCTTAAACGAGACCTTCTCCCCATCCCTCGCTCCCCTCTTCCTCTTCTCCTTATTCTTTCATCCTTTCTTCAGCCCTCTTCATCTACCCTTCTCTTCCCCTGAGCGTACCTAACCCTCGATCTTGTGTTTGTCTTTGAATCACGGTGAAAAGGTACGGGATACGAGACAAGATCAGAAGATGGCATCACCTTCCCCAGGACCGAAGAAGATGAGCTCGATCCGCCAACTGGACTGGCAAGTAAGGAGGTCGAAGCAAGACCTTCTCCGGTCCCACTTCAAGGGGCTCGGGCTCTCGCAACTCAAGACTCCCTGCCTTTTGATCGACAAGAAAGTGGTTGAGGAGAACTGCGAGAGGATGAGGAAGATCGTGACAGACTGGGGGGTCGACTTGAGATGTCACGTCAAGACCCACAAGACCCCTGAGATCACAAGGATCCAGCTCCAAGGCGTCTCGGACAGGGTCATCGTCTCTACCTTGGCAGAGGCGTGGGGACTCCTGGATCCCGAGGATGGTTTGGTCAAGGACGGTAGCGTCAGAGATGTGGGTGTACCTCGGGGCTCACAGAGTCGGGTGTTCGGTTCCTTTCCTTTTCTTTTTCTTTTTTTTTTCTTTTTTTTTTTGGGGAACCAAGGAGTATCTGACGGTCAATTTCTTCCCCCATCCCTCTGCATGTCATGATTTCATTTCCACTCCTTCCCAGATCCTCTACGGTGTCCCGGTAGGCGCCGGAAAGCTGGAAGAGCTCTGGGAATTGAGGGAGGTGGCAAGGAGCACGTCTCCTTGCGGCGAGGACTTCAAGCTTAGATTGATCGTCGACCATCCAAAGCAGGTCGAGCAACTGGATCTATTCCTCAATTCCAAATTTTCCACCTCCGAGATCGAGGATGGCTTCTCCGTCTTTGTCAAGGTCGAAACAGGTAGCAGGTGAGGGTCGAGAATGTCATCCCCAATGCTCCTTTCTTCGCAGAGAAAAGCTCCGCCCCTTCCCCCCCCCCCCCCCCCCCCCCCCCCTATCCTCTTTTTTGACTCATCTAACCCCTTTGTCCTCGCATTTTTTTTCTCCCTCTTGGTCCTGGGGGTTCGTCGTTTCTTCTTGGAACAGGAGGGCCGGAGTGGTCCCGGATTCTCCCAACCTTGAAAAACTCTTGAGAGTCATTCTCGCGTCTCGGCACGTCTCGCTACACGGTTTCTACGCCCACGCCGGTCACTCTTACGACTCTAGGGGGATGGAAGAATCCCAAGATTTCCTCTCCAAGGAACTGAGCTCGGGACTGGAAGCGCTCGAGGTCTCCAAGAGGGTGATGCAAGAAGATGCGTCACGTTCCTCGCCTGTGAGGAAACTCGACTCGGATCCGTTGGTACTTAGCGTGGGTTCCACCCCCACGGCTCACGCAGCCTCCCAGATCCCTTCCGACCAACTTCTAGAGAGACTCGGTAAGGAGATCAAAGCGAAGGCGAAACTCGAACTCCACGCTGGAAACTTTGCCCTACTCGACCTACAACAGGTCGCCACCTCCTCCATTCCTTCCTCCTCTTCCCACCCTAGCGACAGAGGTGAGGGGGTGTTGAAAAACTTTCCCAACGTTGCCCTCTCCGTCTTGGCCGAGGTGGTGAGCGAGTACCCTCAAAGGTCGAGCAAGGGTCAGTCGGTCGAATGGTCCTCCTCCTCCACCACCACCCAACGAGCCCAACCTGGGGACGAGGTCATGGTCGACGCGGGAGCCATAGCCATGTCAAAAGATCGTGGACCTTTGGAAGGCTTTGGAATCGTCGTCCACCCCACCGAAAAGATCGGATGGAGATTGGAAAGGATCAGTCAAGAGCACGGCGTATGCTCCCTCTCCCCCGACCACCATCTCAAACCACCCACCCCCTTGAAGGTAGGAGAAAGGGTCAGGATCCTACCCCAACACGCCTGCCTCACCTGCGCTCAACACCCGGCTTACTTTGTCATCCAAGACGGAGGTGACCAGGTCGTCGACGTTTGGGTCCCGTGGAAAGGATGGTGAAACCAACCTGTCCGCAAACCGAGAGACTGGAAGGCACCCTTTCCGTCGGCCCTCTTCTCCATCATCTCCGTTTTCTCTCTCCCCTCCCCCTTTCTGATACAAGCTTGAAGAATGGATTGGGAAACAGATCAGGAAGAAGGATGGCAAAAGGAATGTGAAGGAGGAACATTATGATTATGTGTGAAAAAGATGATGTAAGGATTGAGGAAGTTTAAAGAAAAAAGGTAAACGAATGGGCCGCTACCGGATTCGAACCGATGACCTCTCGCAGAAGTAGGCAGATGTGCCGAAACCCAAAGCGAGTATTATGCCCCTAAACTAAGCGGCCTTCGATGCTCACCTCGTTAACTATTAAATACATAAAGTATATTTAAGATGATTGTCAACACTGTGACTCGAAGGTTTTTCTTTTTTAGGTTTTAGATGAGATGGAGCATCATACGGTTGGGTGAGCTCTCCCGAGTTCAGAATTCTGCACTTGGAATCCCCATCGGGATGGATCCGGTAGATGAGGAGGAGGAGGATCGATGAAGCGGGATGGATGGGTGCCTCATCCCGAAATGAAAGGGGATTCAAGAGGAGGATAAAAGGAGGGATGGGTGCCTCATCCCGAAATGAAAGTGGATTCAAGAGGAGGATAAAAGGAGGGATGGGGATGTAAGATACAGATTGAGAGGGAATCGCGACGGATGAGGAGGGAAGGATGGGAATCGGGCATGCAGCTGTTAGATTCGCTCTAGACTGGGGTGAACAGGGGGAGGAAGGAGGGGGGAAGGGGAGATCATCTGGATCTTGTGTTTTGTTTTGTTTTGCTTTTCACCCTAAAGACGACCTTCAGTCTTGGAGGGGTTGATAAGCCGTTCTCCCCGAACCTCCGAGAAAGGAGAGAAAGGAAAGTTGTCTATAGGAGAGAGGGAGAGGGGGGAAGAGGGGGTTGGGAAGGTTGAAGACGAGAGGACTGAAGTTTTCTCATCGAAATCGATCGACTCCTTGCCAATTTCCCCAGATTGCAAAGTCGTTGGCCAAACCACTGGCGTGTTGGACGTGGAGGGGGAAAGGTGTTAGAGGTTTCAGGTCATCGTAAACTCCAACGGAACAAGCGAATTCCGAAATGCTCCTTCCGGTAATGAGGATCACCTTTCCCCTGTTGGTGGTCTGGGTAGGAGTTCCTTGCTTGAGTAGGAACTTGACCGTCTCTCCCATGGACCTGTTGGTGACCTCGTTCAGAAAGGGAGGGTCCACTACGATGAGGTCAAAGCTCCCTCTAAAACGTTGCGAGTCGTTGAAATCCAGAGGTCGATTCAGGTCGTACCTCGTAAAGTTGGTGCCGGAGAGGAGGGAGAACCTCGTGTCGTACTCGAACAGGTGGACGTTTCGGAAGGAATCCGGGTAGAGGTGGAGGTAGGACACGTAGCCTGTCGGACAAGAGAGGAATCCCAACTTTGGGTTAGGGATCCCTTCCTCTCTTCTCAGGCTTTCCAACTCCTCCCTTATGCATCGAGAAAGTCGGTTGGCGAAAGTTGTGGAGTACCTGTCGCACGAAGGCGGTTGGGACATTGAAGGCGGAAGGGAGGGAGAGGGGGGTGAGTCTTTTCCTCTGTCGTTCCTTCCCTCCTTTCTTTCCTTACTCCTCTTTTTTTTTCAAAAAAAAAAAAAAGAAAGAAAGAAAGAAAAAGAAAAAAAAGAAATCCTACCTCTTCCCTTCGCAATCGTCGCCACGCGACCACTCACCAGAATTGACTCAATTGCCAACTCTCACCGAAACCTGCCCTGAATTCATCCGGGCTCATCCGTACGAATTGTTTCTCTCCCAAGTCGAGACTCTTTCCTTTAACAACCACTTTTTCATCCTCTCTGCAAGATTTGGCTTGGAAAGACGAGTCGGAGGAGGAATGGGATGAGCTGTCGCTTTCATCGGTTTCGGCAAGATCTTGACCGTAGGAGGAAGAGGAACTGGAACAAGATGAACGATTGGAAGGCGTTTTTCCTTCATCGGTGGAATTATGATATTCCTCCTCCTCCTCTTCTTGGTCGACCTCCTCCTCCTCCTCCGATTCAGAGCAGGAACCTCTCCCCATCCTAGAGAGGCCCAAGGCAGTCAACCTGGCGGCCATCTGGTCGAACCTGGCTTGCTCCTCGATCTTTTCCTCGAGGAAGGAGTCCAACACTTCCAAGGTGGACGGTTCAAGTTCTGGTAGGGAGCAGTTCGAGAGGGAGGAAGAGGAGAGGTAGGATCCAGAGTCCTCCTCTCTCCCTCCCACCTCGGATCCGGATCCTAGTCGGACGGGGATTTCGATCATTCTCCCACTCCCTTTTTCCTTTTGCAGAGCCGGTTCTCCCAAACCCCCTCCACTTCTGGATCTCTTTGGTGTGGTTTCGAGAGCTGACGATTGGTATTTGGGTTTTCTTTTTTTTCTTTCAGTGGGGGACTTGCCCTCTAGCTTTAATCCATCCGTATTCCCTCTTGACTCCGTTTTCGATGTCCTTGAATCGGATGACGCTCTCCTGCGCTTTGGGATGACTTTCCTTCTTTCCCCTCTTCGTTCCTCGTGGAGGGAGTAATCAAGGACAGGGTTGAGGTAGGTTCTCGAATCTGAAGCGGTGGGAACGAAGCGGGGGAGCGTCCAAGGTTGCCACACGGAGGAGATACTTTATATTTCCACGGCCGGGGGGAAAGGCATGGAAGCATGAAGGGGAAGAACAAGGAGAAGAGCGGGGGGGAAAAAGAAGAAAAAAAACAGATGAACAAATGCACAAAAAAAAAAAAAAGAAAAAAGTGACAAAAGAGGTAGGATGAAGAAGAAGAGATGGGAGGCAGATCATAAAAGGAAGAGAGGGGGAAAAAATAAAATAAAAAGGAAAAGAAAACCCACAGCCCAAGCCGGTCAAGAGAATCGAGCATCCTGAAGATTTCGGAGTGAAAGAGGCCTGTCATGGGTTTGATCCGCAACGAAGGTAACCTTTTTTTTTTTTGGCCTTTGGAAAGAAAAAGAGAGAGGGAAAAAAAAAGGATCGAGGTTCCTCGCTCTATCCTCCTTCTACTTCCTTTCCCCCTTTCTTTTGCCGTCCAGCTTCTCCGTTCTTCTTCCATTGGAAGAGGCCGGGTAAAAAGAAAGGATCAAGGCGATCAGTGGAAGAAAAGAAGAACAACAACAAAAAAGGTCAAAAAAAAAAAAAAAACACGGAAGGTCCCAAGGCAAAGGAAGAGTTCAGGATGATGAAATTCGGCATGGTGGTCTGTTTGTTCGATCCGGGTTCATTCCCGATCGGGATGCAGGAGAATCGCGCGCCCTTTTTCTTTCGAATCCATGTAACCCGTCTCTTGGTGATCAGACCTTGCTTTGTCCTTGAGGTGATCCATCGTCTCTCCCTCCTCGGTGTCTTATTTCAAGCCTTTCCGATCCTCAACATTCGATTTCTGATTTTTTTTTCTAAAAAATTTCCTGGTGTTGAATCTGAGTTTCGAATTCCGATCCAGAAACCGTTCACGTCACGGCCCCCCTTCTTTACCAACAAGGGGACCCGACCACCGATCCGAACCTTTCTCTTTCTTTTTCTCCTTCTCGAGTTGGAAAGTCGCCAGTCCCTTCCAGTTCAAGAAGAGGAAGGATCGGGATAGGAGGGGAGGGAGGGATGGAGGAGGAGGTTGGTGAATGTTACATTGGCAAAGGAACATGCCCCGAATTGGAGCGTGTCGCACCGGGGGGGGGGGGAAAGGTGGAAGGAAGGGAGAGTGGGATTCTTCGCCCACCTTGGAATGGGGTTCGGTCAAAGACCATCTTCGTTTCGTGTCGCCCGACAATCCTCCTCTCCCCGATGATCACCAAGCATCACCTCGCCCCCCTCACCCACATCCCCTTTGGAGAGGTGGAGTCCCACTCCACGTTTTTGTTTGCTCGGTTCGGCTGGGGTGTTATTTTTTTATTTATTTTTTATTTTTTTATCTGGACACCGACCTCGCAAACGAACGAGAGGGGTGGTTTCTTGGTTTCCATAGGGAGGGAGGGAGCGGAGGTCAGACTGGAGTTGGGATCGTCCATCGATCGATCGGGAGGGCGAGCGCTGATCGATCCGAACCCGATCTGAGAGAGAGAAAAGAGAAGAAGAAAAAGGTTCAGAGATGTCGGTGGCTAGGAGAGAAGGTGTGGCTCCCCCCTTCCAACTACTACGCCCTGGTCGCGTGAGTCGGTCCTGGAGTCGAAGACCAGACCCAATCCCAAGTGCAAAAAGATCGGATCGGGGAGAAGGGAGAGGAATGGGATCACCGATCCTTCCTCACCGATTGGAGGCAAGATCGATGAATCCAAGTTGGGGATCGTGCTCATCTGAAAACCATCGGGCTGAGCAAGAGAGGGGCTATGGATGGATCGGTGTGGGGGGGCGGAGAGGGGGGGGGGAAGGCGAAGATCAAGGTGGGGGAGGATGGAGAACGTGCCCAGATTGATTGGCTGAGATTGAACCGAATCGAAGGACGTGAAAAAGACTTGGTCAAAGCCTGCGAGAGGGCCCAAGACCATCTAAAGTCTAATTTTCTAAAGCAACGTGGATCTTGCAGGTGGATTAGAGGGCTTTACAAACTGCTGTAACTTGCCACCGCAAGCGACCCTTCGTCCGTCTCTTGATGCACGAAGGGGGGGCTCGGTAAGCGATGCAATTCAGACTCCGAAGAGCTTCCTTAAGATGCTGCTTCCAAAGCGAAATTAAGTACGTACATACTACTCTAAAGTATAGGTACTTCTTAGGCACTACCACCGCTTAAGCCACCCGAATCCTTCAACCCGAAGGTTCGAAAGCTGGAAGCGAAGGAAATGGATGAAAGACGGAAACCCTGAAGCTTGGGGGGAACGAGGGGCGATTGGCGAGGCGGAGGTGAATGTTGGTTGGAGAACGTGCTCTCTCCTCAGTGTCTGAATGGCTGGCGAACAGATCCCCAAGTCACCATGAATCGAACGCTCGCCCAGAGTGCAGAACCAAGTCAAACGATCGCGATACATGGTCAAGACTTGACTCCCACTCGCTTCCATCCCATCCCCCTACCTTTTTGCCCGCCAGCCCATCTCCGTCTCCTTTTCCCCTCCCTACCTTGACACTCTCCCTTCCAGCCAAGCCGCCCCTTCCCTCCAACCTCTCTCAAGCTCGTTCGGCAACCTCGGTGATTTCAACCTTGCCTCCCCCTTCGTTCCAGAAACAGATGAAATCTTCCTTCATGACGTATCCGCGTTGGAATACACCGTCTCAGCCCGGTGGGAGCCTCGGATTCCACGGGTTCGTCGGGGTACGGTGGGGAGGATTCTTTCGCCACTTCTCCCAGACCTTTAAAAAAAAATT